TGTGTGATGAGACGTGAGCTCCTCCTTGATAAGGAAATGACAGAACGGCACACATGTCTGACACATCTGCCTCAAAGAACAAAGAATCTGATTGGATAATAGTGTTCCATTGTCATCTTTGTTACTGCACTAGGGCACTGAGCTAGAAATCAATCCCCAGTATTCCCAGAATCAGCACAAAGGTTGAGAAGTATTTACCTGTCATTTAGACCCAGGTTGACAGTAATCACCATGTTGCTGTACTTAACAAGAATTACAATTTATGACATAAACAGGACTCTAGCTACAGGTTGGCATTTAACTGTACTGGTTCAAATTCTAGCCCTTTATAAACACTCCCTCTACATACACATACAGACAACAAAGAAACATGGGTTATAGACAGAGAGAAAGGCTTGGAAAGCAGTTTGGTGGTTCCTGCTCACAGGGTTTGCTGAGATGATTCTTGTACTGAGTGGGAATGCTGCTTCTCTGTCTTCTCTAGATGCTTGTTGGTAGGGGGCACGTGGTGACTGAGTTACTCTTATAAATGGTCTCTGACTTTGGAGTTAAAAGTCACAGCTTACAGCAACTGCTGAATTTAAAATAAATTGGCTTTCTTCACGCCTAAAGTTTTTTTTTTGCACAAAATAGAGACAGCTCCTCAGCTTGTAGAGATCTTATTATCTTGTTCACAACCCCAAGCTGTTCAGCTACCTAGGAGCCGAGCACATGTTTACTGGCAGGCAGAAAGCTTTTGATATCAATAACTGGTCACTAGTCCATAGACCAATCAGCTACTTGTTGCTGACAAAATTTTCACTTGTAAGAAGCCCTTGATTCCAGCTCATCTGCAAATATTATATTACTGATTGAACCAGGGAAAGATGCAGAGTAATGTGAATTGTGTCTTTACTCTAGGTCAAACAACTGCGCATGTGTGGAATGACATCATATCATGTGGAATAGGAGCCTGGGTCTGTAGCATTTCAAGTAAGATGCTCTCTCTTATCATCCTGTGTATTTAGGTATGTAACAACACCTGTGCTGTTTACTCACAAGAGTATAGATCTCACATTACCATTGTGGTGAGGCACTGTCTTGAATTGTTGCCATCCATGTGAGGGCTAGGTACATCCAGCATTGGTAAGAAGTGAGTTCCAGAATTTTGACCAAGTGACTGTGAAAGATTGGTGATAAAGTTTTATATGAGACTAATGTGTGGCTTGGAGGGGACTTGCAGGTAGTGGTATTCCCATGCCTGTGCTGCTTCTTCCAGGTGGTAGAGGTGGAAGGTGCTGGTGAAGGAGCCTTGATAAGTTGGCACAATATATCTTGTAGATGTTACACACTGCTGCTACTTTGCTTCCGTGGTGGAGGAATTGAATGTTGAGTGTTGGGGCCCAAGGGTGCTGCTTTGTCCTGGATAGCATCCAACTTCTTGCGTATTATTGGACCTGCACTCATTCAGACAATTGGAGAATATTCCATCACATCACTGACTTGTGCCTTGTCGATAATGGGCAGGATTTGGGCTAATGGAAGGTAAATTCCTGTTTTAGACTTCCCAAACCCTGACCTACTCTTGTAGTCACAGTTTTATAACTGTTCCAGTTCGGTTTCAGGTCAATAGCAATCTTAGGAAGTTGATAGTGAGGGGTTTAGTGATGGTGATGGCATTGCATATTAAGGAAACTTGGTTAAATTCTCTTTTGTTGAAGATATAGTTTTAATGCCTGTCACTTCTGTGGAGTGATTGTTACTTGCCACATATCATTCCAAATCTTGGTTACTAATTCCATTTGACCAGTGACCTATGACATAAGATATATATTCATCCATGCATCCCCTTCAATGGGCATCACCGTTCAACACAATCACGGCTCATCTTCTTCCTCATCTCCAGCTTGCCATCCACTCTCCAACATCTCTTGATTTCCTGAGGGACCAAAAGCTTGTTTATTTCGGTTTTAAATATATTCACTCATGTCACAACCATCTGTGTTCTCCCTGTTCTATTTTCTCCAATCAAGGGACACAACCACTCAGTTTCTACTCTTTCTGGGTTCATATCTTTCAGTGAAATTATCTCTCAGTCTTCTGAATTCCAAATAGTGTAGGCTCAATTCACTCAGCTTCTCATTATCAGACAACTCTCTCTCTGATCTCAGAAACCAAACCAGTGAACTTTCACAGTATCACTTTGAAGAAAAATCCAACCTTCCTCAAATATTGAGACACAGATGTGAGTAGTAACGCAGATGTTCTCTTCCAAGGCCCTCCTGCACAATTGTAGATAGGCTTCCTTACATTCAAAACCAGCTAAGGATACAGGGTAGGCCATTTAGGATTAAGATGAGGAGACGTTTCTTCACCCAGAGAGTAATGAGCTTGTAGAATTCTCTGCCACAGAATGTGGTCAAAGTCAAAACATCAAATGTTTCCCAGAAGGAGTTAGATTTATTTCTTGGAGCAAAAGGGATCAAAGGGTATGGGGAAAAAGTGGGAATAAAGTACAGCATTGGATGATCAGCTAATATCATATTGAACGCTGCAACAGTCTCGAAGGGCTGAATAACCTACTCTTGTTCCTGTTTTCTATGTTTCTATTCCAGACTGATGTAATAAAGGCCAATGTAACATATGCCTCCCGACTTTCTTCGTGTATCTGCATACTATTTCCTGTGTTCCTTGCATGATGTTCCTCTCATTAAAAGCAAGGGTATGATCAAACCTTTTGGTATATTTATCAACATTCTGTGATTCAGGTTAAACCAGTTATAGAGCCATAGAGTCATATAACATAGAAACAGGCCCTGTGGCCTAACTTGTCCATATTGGCCAGGTTTCCTATACTGAACTAATTCCATTTGTCTGCATTTGGCCCATATCCCTTTTAAACCTTTCTTATCCATGTACCTGTCCAAATGTCGTTTAGATGTTGTAATTGTATTTGCCTCTGCCAGTTCCCCTGGCATCGCATTGCATACATACACTACCCACTGTGTGAAAAATTTGCTCCTTAAGTACCTTTTAAATCTTTCCTCTCTCACCTTAAATTATGCCTGCTAGTTTTGGACTTCCCTACTCTGGGGAAAAGACTTTGGCTATTCATTCTATCAATGCCCCTCACAATTTTATAAACTTCTGTAAGGTCACCCCTCAGCCTTTTATGCTGCAAGGAAAAAGGTCCCAACCTATCCAGCCTTTCCTTATAACTCAAGCCTTCCAGTCTCAGTAACATCACTGTAAACATTTTTCAACAATTTTCAGTTTAATAACATCTTTAAGAAAGCAGGGCAAACAGAATTTATGCAGCATTCCAAATGTAGCCTTACCAATATCTTAGTACCAGAATCACAATGACTTAATGTGAATATCTGGGAGGGTAAGTTAGATGCAAATTGTCTTCTTCATCTCTTCTGAAGGAGTGATATGGGATTTGCATCCAGCTCTCCACAGTTGCTGCCAGACAGGCTGAGTTTCTCCAGCACTTCATTTCTGAACTTCAGGATCTGCAGTTCTTTACTTTTGTTGGAAACAATATGATCTTTCCTTGTGGGTAATTGGTTGTCAGAACACTGTGGGATAATCTTAGATGGTCTTTGAGTCAAATCCCTGGATTTCCCTAATTTTACAGCAAAGTGTACCCAACACTATTTGAGGGAGAGGTCCACTATTAGCACCTTCTCAGAAGTTATTAGTGTCTGGAAGTAGATAGTTCAATTGAACCTGTTCAGAGATGTTATGACATAACTCTTGATCAGATGGGAGTTGACCCCAAGCCTCCTGGCTCAGAGGTTAGGATACTAGCATTTCACCACAAGAGACCTCCCTATTTCATCATGAAGCAGGTTGCATGGTGGCTCAGTGGTTAGCACTGCTGCCTCACAGCACCAGGGACCCGGATCCTTTTCCAGCCTCGGGTGACTGTGTGGAGTTTGCACATTCTTCCCATGTCTACATGGGTTTCTGTCAGGTGCTCTGGTTTACTCCCATAGTCCAAAGACATGCAAGGCAGGTGGATTAACCATGCTGAATTGCCCACAGTATTCAGGGATGTTCAGCTAGGTGGATTAGACACAGGAAATGCAGGGATAGGGTATGGGTCTGGGTGGGATGCTCCTTGGAGGGTCAGTCTGGACCTGTTGGGCCAAAAGGCCTGTTCCCACACTTAGGAATTCTCCTGGCCCAGAGGCACTGTACAACCACTGTACCGTAAGAGCCCTTAAACATTTTATAACCAGCCTGTACTGAGATGTTAGAAACAAAAACAGAAATTGCTGGAAAAACTTCACAGGTCTGGCAGCATCCGTGGAAGGAAATCAGAGTTAACATTTTGGATCGAGTGACCCTTCCTCAGAACTGTACTGAGGTGTCGACTCTTTGGATGCAGCTGACGAACGAGCGCCGCTGGGAAAGCTTGAGATTTCAAATAAACCTGTTGGTATATAATCTGGTGTCATGTCATTTCTGACCTTCTGATGCAGAGTCACTGGACTCGAAAAGTTAACTCTGATACTTTCCACAGATGGTGTCAGTTCTGCTGATTTTCTCCAGTAAGTTCTGTTTTTGTTTCATAATACTGCACAGAAATATTTCAGATGTCCAGCTCTTTCATTCATATTACTGTACAGAAATTTATTACCCCATAACCCACGTCTCCTGGCCCAGAGCTAAGGACACTGCCACTACTCCACAAGAGCTTGCTCTCGAGTTTGTAAAATGTATGTTGATATTACAAGCTTATTACATGATTCTGGTGTCGGCCGGGATTTGAACTCGGATCTCCCAGCTCACAGGTAAAGATACCAGCAATGCGCCACCAAACCAAAAAGGGGTGGAGCACGATGGCGGCAGCGCTTTTCAGCTTCTGCAGCGCCCTCTCGCGCGAGGTTTTCCTGCTTCCATGTTGCCACGTTCGCTGGGCGCGGGGAGCGAGGCGGAGCATCCCGCCGGGAAGCCAATAGCAAAGAGAGTCTGACGGGAGGCCTGCGATCGATTGGTGGAGGGGGCTGTCGATCAGTCTGCGGGCTCCCTGCCCCACCGCCCTGGCGACAGGGGGGTGGGGCTCGGGGTCAGGTGGGGACCAACGGCCGCGAGTGCGAGACGGAGACTGAGGTAGGGTGTGTGTGTGAGAGACAGACAGACAGACAGACAGAGTTGCCCGGCTGCCGCCGCATCCTTCTCTAGCCACTGGCACATTTTGAACGAGTGAACCATGACTTCGAAGAACAAGACAGCTAACAGCCGTTCCAACTCGTCAGGATCCAGGAAAGGTGAGAGAGATGGGGTTGAGGGCTGGGCCTGGGCTTGGGAGGGGGCGAGAGGGGGTTCTGCTGCTGCAGCTCGGGGCGGGGCCGCGGGATCCGGTATTCACCCCCACCCGCTGTGGGGGAAGGACGAAGGAAAGTTGGAGCTTTCACCCCCCCGAGTGGGTATCCCGTTGCCGTACCCCTTTTTCTCTCCCCCACCCCCTCAGCCCCCTACCCCCCTCCCACCACTAAAATATTGTCAAATGCCCCTTGCTCTGGTTTGCTGGGTGTATAAGACAGGGTCCACCCCGTGCCCGTGTGATCATTGCTTTTCATGTAGCGTTTGTACTGGTTCTCGGATCGATTATATGCTACCTCTTTTCAGAGATCATAGATACATCTCAGCTCTGCTTTTATATCCGTGTTTCATTTATGAGCATTTGCAGCAGTCTTTCTTTTTAAAACTGCATGTTAGAGAAGATGTGTGGTTCCACTTACATAATTGTGAATTCCTTCAGTTTCTCCTTTTGTAGAAACAGAAGTTATAGCCCATCCTGTTCTGTATAAGAGCAACTGGGCTTGTCCGATTCCCTTATACAGCCTGCACATTTATTTACTTTTCTTTATACATAAATGACTTTCAAGTAGGAATTGGACAATTAAGTCTGTTTCCACTGCCCATGTAAGACCATTAGAAATATTAACAGTGGACCCTGAAGCCTTCTCTGCCATTCAGTCGGATCATGGCTGATCCCACAGCGCCCACCCCACTTTCCTGCCTTTTCCCTATAACCCATGATTCCCTAACTGATCAAGAATCTATTTAACTCAGCCTTAATTTGATCTGAATTTATTGGTGTCATATGTGTCTAAGTACAGTGAAAAGTCTTGTTTTGCGAACAGTACAGACAGATCATAGCAAACAAGGACATACAGATCACAGGGTGCTTAGAGCAAAGCATACAAGGTTACAGCTGCACAGGAGGTGCATGGAGTAAGATCAACATTAGATTTGAAATTAGACAGTCCGTTCAGCAGCCTAATAACAGCAGGGAAGAAGCTGCTCTTGAACGTGCTGGTGCATGTGTTCAAGCTTCTGTATCTTTTGCCTGATGGATGAGGTTGGAAGAGAGTTGTAGGATCTTCAGACCTGTAAGTAGATTTAAAATATACACAAGGACTCTGTCCCCTCAGTGCTCTGTGACAAGGAGTTCCAAAGATACTCAGCCCTCTGAGAGAAGAAATTCCTCTCATCTCAGTCTTAAATTGGCACCCCCTTATTCTGAGATCTGAGTCAATCCTGAGCCCTCTGGTCCTGGACTCTCCCATGAGAGAGAGCATTCTGTCAGTATTTACCATGTCAAGACCCTTAAGAATCGTATATGTTCCAATGAGGTCACCTCGCATTTTTCTAAACAGTTCCAATCTGTTTAACTACATACTCAACAATTTTGATCCTAACCATTGGCTACATTTAAAAACAAAACAGTTTTCCTTCTGCCACCTTTGATTCTTTTGCTATTCATCTTGTATTGATGCGTTCTGGCTCTTGATCTTTTGCAAATGGAATGTTTCTCTATCTACTGTGTCCAGATTCCTCAGGATTGGACAACAGTCAAAACTCAAATCAATCTTTTCTAAGAACAACCATTGATTCTGCCATCTGTTTGCATGACTATAGTTCCTTATCCTTGGAAACATTCTCTTATCTTGTCTGCACCTTGTCTAATGCCTTCATGCCTTTCTTAAGGGAGATATCAGCTTTGTTGACACAAGTCCACTTGAGGCTGAATCAGTGTTTTTAAAAAACGCCCCTAGCATAGCGTGATTCAAGTCTACCACTCTGTGTTGGGACTGTGAGTACCTGCAGACTTTAATTCCTTTGTGCAGAATGGAAGGAATAGCTGGAGAGCCGTAGGTGTGTGTAGTGAGTGCTGCACAGTGTGATTTGCCTTGAGGGTTGATCTTGATTATAATGTCCTTATTTTTTGTGACCTTTATATCTATTTATAAGCAATTCCCATGTGCTACTTTTATATAATTGTAATATGTAGTTGTAACAGTTGGAAATTCCATGTTGCATGACTGCTGTGTTCACTGGAAAAGGACATGGGTGTAGTTTCAACGCAGTGTGGAGCTGGAGGAACACAGCAGGTCAGGCAGCATCAGAGGAGTAGGAAAGTTGACGTTTCGGGTCAGGATCCTTCTTCAGAACCGTTCTGAAGAAGGGTCCCGACCCGAAACGTCAACTTTCCTACTCCTCTGATGCTGCCTGACCTGCTGTGTTCCTCCAGCTCCACACTGCGTTGTCTCTGACTCCAGGATCTGCAGTTTTTACAATCTCTCAGTGTAGTTTTATCTGGGTTTATAGTGTGTGTAGTTTAAATAGTAATGTTGAGACATTTCAGCGTGATTCAGAAATTGTTTACAAATAATGGGTGTTGCTTGATTTTTAAACAACTCGTCGATATTTTTGAAGGCAAAAGTTTATTGTATAGGCAATGAGGAAACTCAGATTTTGAATGCGAATGTTGAGAAGTGTTACATGTATTCTGTTCAAATGCTGTAATTCCTGTCTGGATAACTGGCTACTGAGAGATGGGGGTGCTTAAGGATGTTGTTGACCTGAATTTTCAGAAAGCTTTTGATATATGGTTTGATTAATGAAAATGAGAACTTATAAAACTAAAGGGACCTTTGGGACATAATTTAAAAATTGTAAAAGGATATAAAATTGGACTGGAGAGTTGATGGAAATGTATGAATTGGAATGTGATTAGTCCTTTTTTCAGTGAAATGTATGTGAGATGTTTTCTGTATATAAAATGGTATATTGCAGAGAAGGAAGCAGAAAGTCATAAAGTGACAGATTCTCGATAATTGGAACTGAATGTGGGGAAGGGAGAGGTTTAGACTGAAGGAGAGCAAGTCAGAATATTTTGTGAATTGTAAGAAATTGGTTAAGCAGAGACTGGTATACAAATTACTATGTAAGCAGACACAAGCAAAACCAATCAGCAGTTCTTTGTTTTGTTACAATTACATTTGTTGACATTTATCTGTGAGGTTGAAATTGCTTGAGTAAGTTAGGGGCTGACTATTTCATGCATGCAAGGAGTGAAATACTTGGACTTTCTGCCCTTCTTCAATGTGACTTTTATAGGTAACTTTCTTTGAGTGGGGAAAGATGACGTGTGCCGTTGCCTCAGCTGGGTAGACAGCTAATGTGTGGTTCAGAATATGCCAGCAGCACAAGGTTTCATCCTAATTCCACCTGAGGCAAACTCTGGGCTTGCCCCCTTGACTGTTCAGCAGCCCTCTAATAATTTCTTCAAAGTACACTATTTCATTTTTTGTAAACTTTGTCTTTTGAATATCCTTCAAAGTAAGGAGCTTTAATTTGCAAACTGAGTTAATTTAACCAACCGGAGAACACAGTCCAACGTATTGCAGCATTGAGAATAATTAGGGAGAGAGAGAGAATAGACCTCTCAAGAGGAAAAATAATAACTAGAGAGAATAGGACCCCTCGAGGACCAAAGTAGACATGTATACGTGGAACTGCAAGAAATGGGCAAGGTCCTCAGTGAATACTTGACCTCTATGTTTACAGTGGAGAAAGACATGAAAACTTGGGAACTTGGGGAAGTTAGTGGCGATATCTTGGGCACAGTACAGGTGGTGTCGGAATTGACCTAGAAGGTTCATGAGGATAGGGCAACAAATGCAGTCTATATGGATTTCAATAAGGCCTTTGAAAAGGTTCCACATGGTAGACTGCTCTGGAAGGTTAGATCACATAGAATCCAGGGAGAGCTGGCAAATTGGATACGCAATTGGCTTGATAGTAGGAAGCATAGGGAATACTGGAAGGAAGCTTGTCAGACTGGAGGCCTGTGACTAATGTGCCTCAGGGGTCAGTGCTGGGCCCGTTGCTGTTTGTTATCTATACCAATGATTTGGATAAGAATGTACAAGGCATGATTAGTAAGTTTGCGGATGACACTAAAATAGGCGGTATCATGGACAGTAAGGATCGTTATCAGAAATTGCAGCAGGATCTTGATCAGCTGGGGAAGTGGGCCGAGAAATGGCAGATGGAGTTTAATATAGACAAGGTGTTCCATTTTGAAACTTAAATCCAGGTAGGAGTTTCAAGGTGAATGGTAGGGCCTCAAGGAGTGTGGTGGAAGAGAGGGATTTTGGAGTTCAGGTGCACGGATCTCTGAACGTGGAGTCACAGGTACACAGGGCAGTGAAGAAGGCTTTTGGCACACTGACCTTCATCAGTCAGGGTATTGAGTTTAGAAATTGGGATGTTATGCAGTTGTACATGACGTTGGTGAGGCTGCACTTGGAGTATTGTCTTCAGTTTTGGTCACCTTGTATAGGAAGGATGTTATTAAACTGGAAAGAGTGCAGAAGGAATTTACAAGGATGTTGCCAGGACTCAAGGGACTGAGTTATAAGGAGAGGTTGGACAAGCTAGGACTTTTTTCTTCAGAGCATAGGGGACCGAGGGGAATCTTTAAGAAGTGTATAAGATCATGAGAGGCATGGATAGGGTGAATGCACTCAGCCTTTTTCCTCGAGTTGGGCAATCGAGGACTAGAGGGCATCAGTTTAAGGTAAAAGGGGAAAGAATACATGGAAACCTGAGGGCAATCTTTTTATACAGAGGATGGTACGTATATGGAATGAGCTGCCAGTGGCAGTGGTTGAGGTGGGTACATTAACAGCATTTAATGGATCGGAAAGGTTTAGAAGGATGTGGGCCAAGTGCAGGGAAATGGGGTTAGGAAAATGGGATGGACATTTTGCTCGGCATGGACCAGTTTGGGCCAAAGGCCTGTCTCTGTGCTGTAGGTCTCAATGACTGGGGATAGCACTGTTCACATAGTAAGACTTTGCAGTTTTATATATCAAGATTTGAGTCTGCTCCAAGAATGGCATTGTTTCTTGCCCTTTTTAATTTGGCAAGTATGGGAGTCTGTCTTGATGGCATCATGAACAGGTTGGATCTG